AACGCATTCATCGCAAACGCATGCGGTTGCAGTCTAATTGCGTGAAATCTAGCCACAAGATTTCACGACGGCTGAAGATTAGAGTGGAGTTGAGAGCGCACCTTGTATCCGCCGAGTGAGTGCCACGGGAACTCGTAGAGCGGTCCAGGCTGAGTCGCCATTGCGACGACTTTTTGAAGACTGTCGCACACGACAGCACAGAGGTTTTGCCCGCAGCGGATCTACGACGATCGCCGCAAGGCAGGCGCTGATCGAGAGTCGAGAGACGTCTCAAATCAACGACGCAGGTCCGTCCTTGTGCAAGGGGCGAATGTTCCAACAGGCTCCTAATCCTCCGTTTCTCAGTTTCCCGCTTCTCTGCTCCAGATGACGGGAAATGGAGAAAGGAAGCGTGAGACGGAGCCGAGTTGGAACAATGCGAAGGCTTGAAAGTATGGCGGAGCCTACTCCAAGGCTTTCTGTCCTTCCACAGCGACGGTAATAATCTTAGGGTGCGTTCCTGTGGAGACACTTGTGTCTCAACCCCCGTTTTCCCGGATCGCGCCTGTAAAATTGCAAAATGTTGTGTCTCAAACAACCAATGAACCTCGACTCTGAGCGACAGATGGGACCGGCCAGGTGGGCGCTTTTCTATTGGTGGCGACCCCGCTGCTGTTTTCCCGCCGGGCATCCCAGTACAAAAAAGCGCAACCCGCAATGAATGTCGCGGCGGCGTCTAGACACGGTGGATGGTGTTGCAAATGGGTCGAGTCGGGCATCACGGAAACACTACACACACACAGGCTTGTGTTCAACTACAGCAGCAAACGCTGGCACAAGTACAAAACCACCACCCCACTAGTCATAATGTGCCTCCCAGTCTAGCATCCATGGCACAGCCTCGCGACGTGCCCTTCCTCATGCGGCTGCTCGTCGCATGGGTCACGTTCTACTACAGCATCTTCATGGACGCCGTCTCCAGATCTGTCGGCGGCTTGCTGGAGGCGAACGTGTTCACCGAGGAAGTGTCCTCGGCTTCTAGCTCGCGTGGCTCCAACCTCACCGCCGAGCGAAAAAGGAGGTCAGGGCTTCGCCGGCGCAGGTACCAGCTGCTGCTAGAGGACCTGGAAGGCATGGGGGAGGAAGAATTCAGGGATTTGTTTCGCATCAACCGCGCAATTCTTGACTACATTGTCAACGGGATGGCGCACTACATGCAGCCCTACGTTGACAGATACTTGATCACGCACGAGGTGGCATGCCTGGTGGCTATCAAATACCTGGCCAGCGGCATGTCGTTTCGAGACCTGTCGGCAGTCTTCGGCCTGTCCAAGACGCTGTGCCACACGCAGGTAGATGCACTCCTCATGCACTTCCCGACGGCCTTCAAGCAGCAGTGGGTCCACTTCCCGAGCCGTGACGACCTCGATGAGATGGCGGAGGAGTTTCGCGCCATCAAGGGAGTCCCTGCGGTGGTGGGGGCTATAGACGGCACACACATACCCATGAAGGGGATGGAGGGGCACAGGCAAGAGTACTACACGCGCAAGTCATGCTACGCCGTGCAGCTGCAGATCACATGCGATGCTCGCGGCATCATTTGGGACTACTTGGTAGGATACCCGGGCAGTGCACACGATCAGAGGGTGTTCATGAACAGCGCGTTACACGAAAGGTTGCACAACGGCGACATTGCGCCATACCAAATTGTGGGAGATGCTGCCTACCCACTCAGGGACTTCTGCCTGACCCCCCTACATGCATCCCGTGAAGGCCTAATGGATGACTGGGAGCAGTGCTTCAACTACTGCCAAAGCGCTACGCGCATGGCAGTAGAGCGTTGCATCGGCGCATTCAAGGGCCGGTGGCGTCTATTCGCGGGCCGCAATGATTGCGTGCTCTGGCGCATTATTGCAGGGGCGTCTTGTGGCGTCATCCTGCACAACATGTGTGAAACGATGGGAGCGGTTAGGCGGGTGAATGCGTCGTGGGCGAACTTGCCCCGAAACCGAGACCCGTGGTGGACTCGTGGTGCAGTCAGCGAATTCAAGTGGGAGCCGTGCAACCCGTGCACGCAGGCTAATTTGCGAGAACGGCGCAAGCGGTTGGGCGAGGCTCTGGAGTCGTCTTACCTCACTCGTCGGTGCCGCAAACCCACACATCCTCGCCCGCATCAGGGTTAGAGGCGTTGTCGGCCGCCTGCCCGCGGCGGAGCCAGCCGTCGTCGCCTCCTTCGGCGGCGGGCGTCGCATGCCCAGGGATGCCGTCGTGGGCAGGCGGGAAGGGGGCGGGCTGCTGCACGTGTTCGCGTGCAATCCGCGCATCCTGCTCCATCCATGCGCGGACGAGGACTTCGATACGATTCATCGCGTCGGAGTGGCAGCCCTTGATCGTGTCACACACCAGCTTGGCGGCGGCCACCGTTGCGGTCTCCACCACCCGTGGGCGCTTCGACGTAGGCGTCCCCTGCGGCGTTGGTGCTGCACACGTGAGCCACGTAGAGTTGTATCAGTAGCTGACTAGTGTGTGATATTACGTCACATTTCTTCCCTACCCTAAAACAAAGTTGCACAAGTGCCACACCAAAACGTAAAGGTCCGAACATCAGAGTTGTTGCAAACTCACCGGTGAAAGTCGGAGAAGATGTGCATGGTGCTGATGGCGACGGAACCGCGAAACCGCACGGCACGTTGACGTGAGCCGCGCCACCACCGTCGACAGCGTGTGGGTTACCAACAGCCTTGTTGTTCTGGAATAGCGCCATGTACGGGTACCATGGAGGCTTGCACACCGCCCCCTTGCCGCTCGCCTTCTCCCCCTTCTTGATCTGCTTGTACACGTTAACGAGGTTGCGCCACTGCTTCTGCAGTGCGTTCACGCCGCGGACCCACCCGGGGTTCTCCTGCTCGAGATGACGCACGAGGCGGGCCCAGTACTGGGATCCCTGCTTGCCGAGGAGAGCGCCCAGCTCGTCCTTCATGAACCAACGAGCTGCGACGAAAATGGTGCTCTCGCGGGTAGACCACACGCCCCGCCTGACAGGGTTCAGGTTGCGCGTCTTCGACGCGCCACGAGGAGGCTCTCCGCCCTTTGCGGCAGTCTTGGTTCCGGCCGCAGTAGACGCACGGCCGCGACGGGTAGGCGGGGTAGTGGGTTGTGCCTCCTCGGGAACGTCCTCGTCGTCTTCAGCGTCCTCGTCGCCGTCGTCTTCGTCCTCGGAGGGGGACATGCCCTTGTCCGGCTCCTCGACAGAGTCCGCGTCGTCGTCGTACGCCTCGTCGCAGTCATTGAAATCAGGATCGTCGTCGAAGGCCTCGTCGTCCACGACGCGGGATGATGCAACCCGGTTGGCATGAGGGCGTCCGCGGGTAGGCACGTCACGCGGGGCTTCGAACGAGGTGTCTCCCGCACCGGGCGCACCATCGGGCAGGGGGCCGGCGGGCTTGCGGCCGGCCGCGAGCTGCTTGTTCATCCAAGCGATGTACGGGATCTCGTTGAGATCCCGCGGGCACAAGTCAGCAGTGCTAGCGGCGCTCTTGCGCTTTCGGGCCATGGCTACGGCTGGGAAGAAGGAACAAGAAACAGGAAGGAGAGAGAGCAGGGGTTTGTAGAACAAGAATGGACTGGTGCGGGTGAGTGCTGTCTGCGTAGTTGGAATGGTGTGTTGGAAGTCGGGCAGGGATGTGTCATGACGGTCGCATCCACCAGTCATCTGTCTGCAGGGGCAGGGCGGTTTTCCTTTCCCGCTCGAAAATTGCCCTGTTCGATTGTCCAGGTGCATGCAGTACAGGGTGACATTTCGGGACGCGTGCAATTTCCGCAAGGTGACGGGGCCTCATGTAACTCGTCCGCGACACCCCCGCAATTCCCGCCAACCAATGTAAAATACTGTGTGAATCGAAGTAATGCGGTCCGCGTTTGTGACACACTACGACATATGCTGATTTCCGGTGTCACGAAGGGTTTGAGACACAAGTGTCTCCACAGGAACGTACCCTTAGCTCAGGACAACTGATCAGGCTTATCCCCAATCAGGGGTGTGCGAATCCAAAATGTGTGTTTTGAGGAGGCCTGTGGCAGCTGGATGGTGGAGGGAGAGGAAGGACGCCAAAAATGTGGATGGGGTGGATGAGTGCATGTGGACGAGAAGGGGCGGAATGGGCATGGGGTGGTGGGATGCAAGAACTGTAGAATTTGCGCCTGCAAACGAAATGGCGATGGGGGGCAAATTGCAATGCACTGGCGACGAGAGGAAACCAGGTGTCGCACGCGTTCAAACGAGGGGAAATTTTGAGGCAGGCGAGGGGCTCCGAGCATGCGACGCAGGCAGTTCCACATATGCGTGAGAGATCTCCTCCAGGCGAACGGGAAGGTTGGCTCATGACGCTCGGCGACGCGATGTTGGCGACGTTTGCGAAAGCAAATGCGATTCTTTACAACCAACAAGCAGGGCTCTGCGCCTCGTTGGAATTTCAAGCGTGCCTTGTGCGGTGCGGACCGAGGCGCACAACTGACCAGTCCCAAGAAACCTGAGTGGGCAGAAAGGCAAGCAATTGATTGCCCCCAAATACGGGCAGGTAAAATCCTTACAGGAACTTTGGTTCAATGATTCATCCACAGTTGTGGAGGAGCATTCTGAATCTGACCCACATAATCCACGTCGCTCACCCCTTCCCACAACTCGCCACGTCGAAGTCGACACGCGTTGCTGCCATGTCATCCACTTTACCACGCTCCGTTTAAATACGCTCCGATGTTATACACATATTCCCCTGATTCACGAAAAAAAAGGAAATAATATTATATTGAGGTGTCTTACGTCGCGTACGGAGCCAGGAAAGCAGTCCCGCTTGAATTTTGCGCCTGCCATCTCGAATTTGCCACAAAATTCAGGGCTTTTTTGACTTGGTCCTTCAAGAACGTCAGTCAGCAAAACTGCACGATACGGGATCCGAGGGGAAAGGATCGCCAAAAAAACGCTAGGCCGAACTCGAAATTTTTTAAGTGTAGTCCCGAAAATTATGGCAGCAGGGCAAAACGATAGCTGTAGTGGCGGGGAACCAACCTGCTCTCACGCGGAGACTGGCGAAGGCGCAGGTCGACAGGCAGAAGGCGTTCCGCCGCCGCCTCTCGCTCCCCATGCGGCAACCACGGCGCCAGCCACGACAGCAGCTCCAACGGCCACGTCAGTAGCAGTAACAGCGGTGGCACCAGCAGCGACATCGGCAGCAGGGGGAGCGTTAGAGCCGCGTTCGTCGTCTTCACTAGCATTAGAGGTTAACGAGATGAGCCTTTCGTTTGAATCACGTGTGCTGGACGCCAGCGGGGTGTCTGGGCGGCATCAGGTGTCGTGTACGCTCGTGACTGGCTTCCTGGGATGCGGCAAGACCACTCTGCTGCAGGTGAGGGAGGGTATACCGCACGCCTGTACAGGATGTGCACTTGTATATGGCTTTCTACGGTATGTGCATTATTGGGTGTGAACATGCAGCATGCGTAGGTGCGAGTGCTGGTTCACGCCTCTTCAACTGTGCAAAGCAGGAAAACCTGCGGGTGGTAATTAAAGACGTTAGTCATCTAGCCCTCAACACCAACCCCCCCTTACCACCCTCAACACCAACCCCCCCTTACCACCCTCAACACCAACCCCCCCCTACCACCCTCAACACCAACCCCCCCCTACCACCCTCAACATCACCCCCCCTTCGCCACCCTCAACACCAACCCCCCCGTACCACCCTCAAAAGCACCCCCATAAATGTGTGGCTGGCTGACCATCTACTTCCCTCCTCCTTACCGCCCCCTTTTTCCCCCCTACCAGCACGTGCTGAGGGAGAAGGGTGATCTGCGAGTGGCCGTGCTGGTGAACGAATTCAGTCCTGTTGACGTGGACTCCCTGCTGCTCCAATCACAGCGCGCCAACGTGGCAGTTGGGGCGCCCCCTGGTCATGGGGATCTGGCAGGGGGTGAGTGCGTGAAAGAGAAAGTGTGGGCAAGGGGAGGGAGAAAGGAATGGGTGGATGAGTCATGAAGGAGTGAGGGAGGGAGGTGGCTGGAAATGAGTGTGGGTGAGGGGAGGGAGAAAGGAATGGGTGGACGAGTCATGAGGGAGTGAGGTCGGACGGGTGGTTGGATATGATTGTGGGCAAGGGGAGGAAAAAATGGAGATAGCAAGTCAATGAGAGCAAGTAGGAGCGGACTAGATTAAGCCACTGCCACACATGCTCCTTTTCATGCAATCACATGTCCATGCACTCACGTCCTGATCCCACATCCCCATGCACGCACACAACCATGCACTCACATCCCCATGCAGTTACATGCCCATACGCTATTATGCCCATGCACTCACATGCCCACCCTCACATCCTCACATGCCTATGTTTCTCAATCTGCAGGCTGCGCATGTTGCCACGTCAGTGACGGGCTCAAGAAGGCTGTGCGAGCAGCGGTTGGTGGCGCCATGTCAGCATGCGACTACCTCATCTTGGAGGTGAGCGCTCGGTCGTTGCCACGTTAGCATGGTCGCCCGTCTACATCTGATCCACGTGCTTCCTTCATCGTCGAATCTGCCCTGAGTGGTGGCAGTGGTGGCAGGTAGGCAAGGGAGCCACGGGAGGCATGTGAAGAAAGGGAGGCTGGGAAAGGCACGGGATGCTGGGAAAGGCACGGGAGGCTGGGAAAGGCACGGGAGGCTGGGAAAGGCACGGGATGCTGGGAAAGGCACGGGATGCTGGGAAAGGCACGGGATGCTGGGAAAGGCACGGGATGCTGGGAAAGGCACGGGATGCTGGGAAAGGCACGGGATGCTGGGAAATGCACGGGATGCTGGGAAAGGCACGGGATGCTGGGAAAGGCACGGGATGCTGGGAAAGGCACGGGATGCTGGGAAAGGCACGGGATGCTGGGAAAGGCATGGGATGCTGGGAAAGGCACGGGATGCTGGGAAAGGCACGGGATGCTGGGAAAGGCACGGGATGCTGGGAAAGGCACGGGATGCTGGGAAAGGCACGGGAGGCTGGGAAAGGCACGGGATGCTGGGAAAGGCACGGGATGCTGGGAAAGGCACGGGATGCTGGGAAAGGCACGGGAGGCTGGGAAAGGCACGGGATGCTGGGAAAGGCACGGGATGCTGGGAAAGGCACGGGATGCTGGGAAAGGCACGGGAGGCTGGGAAAGGCACGGGAGGCTGGGAAAGGCACGGGATGCTGGGAAAGGCACGGGATGCTGGGAAAGGCACGGGATGCTGGGAAAGGCACGGGATGCTGGGAAAGGCACGGGATGCTGGGAAAGGCAGAGGTAGCCTTGGATGATGGCGACTGTGTCATTTGAAACGCTTTCTTCTCTACCTTGTTTCCTGCCCACTTCCGCAAATTTATCCCTCCAGACCTCGGGCCTACCGGACCCTCAACCACTAGCCGCCCAGCTGATGGAAGCCGGGTGAGGCTCGATAGAGTGGTGGCTGTGGTGGCGTGGTGGTGGTGCAACCTGAAACTCTTTTCTTTCACCTCATTGTATGCCCAGTTCCGCCCTTTTGTTCCTCCAGACCTCGGGCCTAGCGGACCCTCAACCAATCGCCGCCCAGCTGATGGAAGCAGGGGTGAGGCTCGATAGAGTGGTGGCTGTGGTGGAGGCTGAGACGCTGCCGACCCTCCTCGAACAGCAGCCAATAGCGCGGCGACAGCTGGCAGCGGCCGACCTGGTGTTGCTGAATAAGTGAGCTGATGTGGCAGTAAGCAAGGAAGGGAGAGAAGGGGTGAGGAGAAAGGGGCGGTTGAGGGGGGAAGAGACGGGAAGGGTGTTAGGGTAGAAATCCATTATGAGAGGATGACAGTGAGAGAATTAGAGTGGGAGGATGACAGTGAGAGAATTAGAGTGGGAGGATGACAGTGAGAGAATTAGAGTGGGAGGATGACAGTGAGAGAATTAGAGTGGGAGGATGACAGTGAGAGAATTAGAGTGGGAGGATGACAGTGAGAGAATGAGAGTGGGAGGATGACAGTGAGAGAATGAGAGTGGGAGGATGACAGTGAGAGAATTAGAGTGGGAGGATGACAGTGAGAGAATGAGAGTGGGAGGATGACAGTGAGAGAATTAGAGTGGGAGGATGACAGTGAGAGAATTAGAGTGGGAGGATGACAGTGAGAGAATTAGAGTGGGAGGATGACAGTGAGAGAATTAGAGTGGGAGGATGACAGTGAGAGAATTAGAGTGGGAGGATGTCAGTGAGAGAATTAGAGTGGGAGGATGACAGTGAGAGAATTAGAGTGGGAGGATGACAGTGAGAGAATGAGAGTGGGAGGATGACAGTGAGAGAATTAGAGTGGGAGGATGACAGTGAGAGAATGAGAGTGGGAGGATGACAGTGAGAGAATGAGAGTGGGAGGATGACAGTGAGAGAATGAGAGTGGGAGGATGACAGTGAGAGAATGAGAGTGGGAGGATGACAGTGAGAGAATTAGAGTGGGAGGATGACAGTGAGAGAATGAGAGTGGGAGGATGACAGTGAGAGAATGAGAGTGGGAGGATGACAGTGAGAGAATGAGAGTGGGAGGATGAGCGTGACATGACTGTGATGATGGAATCGAAGGCTGTGCTGTTCTCTGCGATGTTTTTGCATTGCTGAGCTTATTCCATGTGACTGCCCCATGCCCGTCTGCACAAATCCCTTCCTGCCATGCCATGCACCGCTGTTTCATGCGCCTCTATCCCTTGCTCCTCTGTCCCATGCCCCTCTGTCCCAAACCCCTGTGTCCCATACCCCTCTGTCCCATACCCCTCTGTCCCATACCCCTCTGTCCCATACCCCTCTGTCTCATACCCCTCTGTCCCATCCCCTCCGCACGGTCGCACCATACCCCTGTGGGCCATGTGCAGGTGTGACCTGGTGTCCCTGGGTGCACTATCAGATGCAGAAGACATGCTCCATAAATTTCTCACCACAGGAGACGCGTCTGCCCACCCACATACCAACGACGCATACGGCACCAGTCATAGATGCACCTCCTCCTCTCACACACGCTCCCATCCTCCCACCCCCACCTCTATACAACCATCCAGCTTGCCTCTTCCCCCTGTAGTCCGCACCCGTTACTGTCACGTCCCCTTGGATCTGATCCTAGATACCCTTCCTGTATCGCAGCCCGCTCCTCCTCTCACCTCAGCATCCGCTCATCTCTCCTCTGGCTTCCTCTCTCACGAAGCCACTGCTGCCCCCTCCTTTCGCACTCCCAGTGCTTCAACTCCCTCAGCCCTCACTCCCTCCTTGCACAAGGAAGGGAAAGAGCCGGATGCAAGGCATGGAGCGAGGAGGTATCAACTAGGTGCACCTGCACCAGGTCATGCCTCCACCCCGTTTACATCACTCCTCTTTGAGTCACAGCAGCCTCTTCCGCTAGCTGCATTCCAGCACATCGTGGCCACCAGACTGCGAGGAAGAGCCGCCAGCAGCAACAAGAGTGGCAGTGGCACTGCCGCCAGCAGCACCACCAGCGGGTGTGCTCCAGTGAAGGGTCTGCTTCGAGCCAAGGGCTTCTTGTTCTTCAAGGAAATGCGGTAAGGAGTCATGGCAGGTGTGGCGGGTAAAGCTTTTGTGCCTGTAGTATGGTGGATGCAGGTTCTGGAATGCTAGCCTTAGGCTTCTCTCAACCTTGTTTTGGACCTCTGCTCCTCACCCCATCTCATGTTTTTTTCTTCTTCTTCTTCTTCTTCTTCTTCTTCTTCTTCTTCTTCTTCTTCTTCTTCCTCTTCCTCTTCCTCTTCCTCTTCCTCTTCCTCTTCCTCTTCCTCTTCCTCTTCCTCTTCCTCTTCCTCTTCCTCTTCCTCTTCCTCTTCCTCTTCCTCTTCCTCTTCCTCTTCCTCTTCCTCTTCCTCTTCCTCTTCCTCTTCCTCTTCCTCTTCCTCTTCCTCTTCCTCTTCCTCTTCCTCTTCCTCTTCCTCTTCCTCTTCCTCTTCCTCTTCCTCTTCCTCTTCCTCTTCCTCTTCCTCTTCCTCTTCCTCTTCCTCTTCCTCTTCCTCTTCCTCTTCCTCTTCCTCTTCCTCTTCCTCTTCCTCTTCCTCTTCCTCTTCCTCTTCCTCTTCCTCTTCCTCTTCCTCTTCCTCTTCCTCTTCCTCTTCCTCTTCCTCTTCCTCTTCCTCTTCCTCTTCCTCTTCCTCTTCCTCTTCCTCTTCCTCTTCCTCTTCCTCTTCCTCTTCCTCCTCCTCTTCCTCCTCCTCTTCCTCCTCCTCTTCCTCCTCCTCTTCCTCCTCCTCTTCCTCCTCCTCTTCCTCCTCCTCTTCCTCCTCCTCTTCCTCCTCCTCTTCCTCTTCCTCTTCCTCCTCCTCTTCCTCCTCCTCTTCCTCCTCCTCCTCCTCCTCCTCCTCTTCCTCCTCTTCCTCCTCCTCTTCCTCCTCCTCCTCCTCCTCCTCCTCCTCCTCCTCCTCCTCCTCCTCCTCCTCCTCCTCCTCCTCCTCCTCCTCCTCCTCCTCCTCCTCCTCCTCCTCTTCCTCTTCCTCGTCTTCCTCTTCTTCTTCTTCCGGTTTTTTAAAACCCTTCTTATTTCTCTTACATCGGCTTCCCTCTTCCCCCTCCTCCTGCCTCCAAGGCATCTGCGGTTTGTGTTTCAGCTGAGTGGCAGCAGCCGTTGCTCCTGCACTGCCATCGACACCTGGGACTGCCCACCCTCCTGCCGCCTTGTGCTCATTGGCCAGGACGCCGCTGAGCTGGCAGGCCTGGTGTCAGAGCTGGAATCACTCGCAGAGGATCAGAAGACGGATGGTGGAGAAGAGGTTTCAGGGGATGGGGTTTCAGAGGTGGCTTGTGAAACAGGCTCGAGGAATGTGGCTGGGGAGGCGGTATGTGGGGAAGGCACAGCTGCTGCTGAGGCAACAAGGCTTGTGAAGATGCTGACAGCAGATGAGAGATTTGAGGTGAGATGGTGGTGTCTGATGAGTGGTGAATGGTTGTTGGTGAAAGATGGGTGGTGAACGATGCTGAAAATGAAAAGGCATGACCAGCTGGTGGGGTAGTGCGACTGTGTTTGAAAACAGTCTGAACTTCACATGAAAGAATGGGAGGGGATGATCGGTGCGGCTCATGTAAGTGACCTTACACAGCGGGCTATCTGATGCCTTCATTTTCAAGTACCCAATCCTGAAGTTGGTCGCTGGTGTGGCATTAAAGTGGAAGTTTCAAGATGTTGTGGAGTCTGTTCATTGTGATGAATGCAGGTCCGCACATCCAAGGCAGCATCTGACAACAGAGTGGGGAAGTTAGTGACAGAGCGACGGGGAAAAACGTTTGAGGCTTCAGTTGTGGAGTTTGGGATGAAAGGAATTCCACTCAAAGGCATCCATCAGGTACGGCTACCCTAAACCTTAAACCCCGGCCAGAATACCTTTTACAGCACACATAATTTGCTGTATGATGAAAGTAGGGATTTCTCAGGTATGGAGAAGGCAGGCGTCCATCAGGTAAAGCTACCCACTTGTTAGGTGCGGGGTTGGGGGGCTTTCTAGTGCAGTAAGCATCCATCAGGTATGTTAAAGATGAGCTTCTTTTGATTATGGTGCAGTAAGCATCCGTCAGGTATATCGAGGATGAGCTTCCATTGATTATGGTGCAGTAGGCATCCATCAGGTATGCTGAAGATGAGCTTCCATCAGCTTTGGAGTTTTTTTTTTAGAATACTTCTGCAGCATGAGTCGTAACTACACATCCACTGAGGGCATTTTGTCATCTCTTGCAAGCATAGTCGGAATGATGCACAATACCTGTGAATCCGCACAGCTGGAGGCGACGCTCCTCTTTCCTGCATCATCCTCCGCATTACCTGCATGACAGAATACTCTCAATGCCTCGTTGCTGGCGTACATGAACAACCAAGCTACACATCTCGTATTCGCCTGCTCGACTCTCCCAACTCTCAACGGTAAGTATACCCTACTTACAGCAGCCGTCTTGATGTTTCTTCGCCATTTCTAGCCATTGACAGTCTGGTTAAGGAGTTAGAACAACTAAGTCAGCTACCTACCCGACTGACGCTTCAAACATCAGCTGGGCCGTTGGTCCTGGGAATGCGAGCGTCGTCCAAGGCAGAAGTGGTCTTCGACCTGCTCTCGATCGCAGCCAGGCGGAGCTTGTCTCAGGCCCTCAAGGATGTTCCCTTATGCAGGTACCGTTTCGTTTCCAGTATTCTCTTAGATATACTGGAAGTAATATTGTGACAAGTCAATGTACGCCGTCTTATATGTTTCTTTTTTTTTTTTTCAGGTGCGATGTGGTGCATGAGATGGTGAACACGAAATGACGGCGTCAACACTAGGACGGGAACTGGAGATGACATGACCAACGACGACCACATTCCTTCCCGTAGAACCGCTCGTGAGAGGTGTCGTGTGACTGACTGACATGATGACTAGAATAGAATAAGTATAGGGGTTGGTCTGGCGTAATCTATGAGCTTCGCGTAGCAGCGTCCAACTGCCTGATCATAACAAATAGAATGACGGATTCTGCACACACCAGAAATCGAACTGACTGACAAACGTAGTTGCATTACATCACTATGACAGTGGCAGAAAAGTCTTGCTGGGAGCTGCTGCATCATCTGAGCCTAGATGAAGGCAGCATCAAGCAGGAGATATGTTCTTCGGCCCATACGACATGAAAGTTCCAGAAGCACGAGGCTCAGCTGTCAAACACGGTTTTCTTGGGAATGCAATTCCTGTACTTCGGTGGAG